GGAGATCAGAACTCAGGTCCTTGAACTTGCAAGGCAGCCGCCAGAACCACTGAGCTGAGTCCCCAGCCCCCCACATCTTCTTTATCCACTTGTCAATTTATTGGCATCTGAGGAGTTTCCAAGATTTAGCTATTAAAAACTGTGCTGCTGTAAACATAGGTGTGCATATATCTCTGTGGTATGATGCTTTTAATTCTTTCAGGAAGATCCAAGAAGAGGTATAGTTGGGTCAAATAAAACCTCTAGTTTTAGTTTTTTGAGAAATCTGCACACTGATTTCCACAGTGGTTGCACCAGTCTACACTCCCACAGCAGTAGAGAAGGGTTCCTTTCTCCTCACAGTCCCTCCAGCATTTGTTCTTGGTAATAGCTATTCTTTCTGGAATGAGATGGAATCTCAGCATTGTTTTAATTTGCACATCAGATATTTATTGATTGCCTCTTTTTACAGGGCACTGTGCTATCCAGTGGATTTCACAAAGAGGCATGAAACAGTAATCTCTGGCTGTACCAAGTATACAGTCTAGTTCTGTAATGAGAGCCCAAGTGAGCAGAGTGTGTGGTGTTTGATGTGGTGCTCTTGCGGTTAATTTGGGCTTCATTACGAAGCATATTTAGCCTGCTGACAGGACAAAATATGTAACCTGGTCTTTGGGGCCAAATTGGGAAAGATACTAAATTATAAAGCTCTAAAATATGAGAACTGTGCTTTATTTATCTCAGTAGCCTCTTCAGGATTTTATGATTTGTACTTGCTTTAAATATAGACTTTGAGAAAACTTTTTGTGTCTTTTTCATTAATCCAAGGGAAGGGAAGATTTTTAGAATTCATCCCTGCCTGAGGAACCTGGTCATGTTGGATTGAAATGAAACTTTCATGTGCCTAATATAGAACTAAAGGAGAAGGGCTTATCTAAGGAGGGTTTGTTTGGATGGGAGTCTTCTCTTTCCTTCCTGAGGCTTCTCTCCGTACTCCTACTCCATGGGCAGAAGGTAGAAAAGAGTTTATTGCAACTGCAGTAGAGCATTCAACACTGTGGGCAAGCTACCCTCAATTTATTTGTTTTGGATCTCAGTTTCTATGTGTTACAGTTAATTCTATTAAAACACATCTATATTCCAGACATTCCCAGGGCCTTGTGGAAGCAGCTTGCTGGTGTTGAAATTGAGTCTGCCACTTTCTTACTATGATCAGTTACTGGGCTTACAATTGTTTTCAGTGTCCCTAAGTAGATACTGCAAATCTTTGAGGTTTGTAAATTGATGCCATTTATTTTCCCTACTAAGCTTTCTAGCCAAAGTCAAAAACTAAAAGAAAAAAATCTAGCATCTGTTGTTTAAGTGCTTTTCATCAAAGATCATAGTGCATAGGATACATATAGAATACACATAACACAAGCCTGTAACACATGCTATCTCTAAGCATTTACATACTTGTTATGATTCAAAGAAATACTTTCTATGAAGGAATATGAATCCTAAGAAAAAAATATCAGAGTTAAAGGCCATGAGAGTAGTAATGATATAGTTTTCTCTTAGCCTCTTATCCCTAGCTGCCAAAGTGTCCAATGAAGAATATTTTGAGACAGAGGCCCAGGCCTTCTTTGAAAGACTATCATGTCACCACAGAGTCTCTTTCTTTGAAGGTACATTTTGGGTGCAAAACAGGCTTTTGTCTCTTTTGCCATCCTTTTTGTTGTGGGCATCTAGTGTCTGCTGCCGCACATCTGATTTGGAAGAAAAGGACTCTTGCTCCTTCCAGGGATGGAGATGGTTAGGCAACTTGATGTGCCCGGGTGTGCCTGTTCTCTCTTTCCCCCAACACCGGAAACCACAGAATAAAGGAGGTGCGTTGAAGCCTGGTGTAAAGGACACACCTGTATTCTTAGCAGTCAGAAGGCTAAGGCAGGAGGATCACTGAGACCGAGGCCCACCTAAGACCCTCTCTCCAAAAAAAAAAAGGATTTGTATTTCTTCAGAGTCTTACAGATAGTTGGACAGTTTTTTACATCATAATCACTGTGATTTGTTTCCATAGACTCTTTATTGAGAAACTACCAAAGCATCGAGATTACAAATCAGCTATCATTCCTGAAAAGAAAGATACAGTAAAGGTGGGTCTTCGTTTTCATTGTTGGTTATCAAAAAGCCTCAAAGCAGTACAAGCTAAGATAAAAGTAATAGTCTTTGCATCTGAGCATCAAATTCTGCCATAGAAACTAAGACCATCTTACCAGAATAGCTATGAAGTAACAAGTATGTTACAGTAGGGGGCCTTTTTTGAAATATTGTTGCCATTTATAATTTCAGGGTTTTTTCTCCATTTAACTGGGATCAGAATTGTTCTAATTCTCAGTTTCTGTTTTGTATCTCAGAAATTAAAGGAAATCGCATTTCCCAAAGCAGAAGAGCTGAAGGCAGAGTTGTTAAAACGATATACCAAAGAATATGCACTATATAATGAAGAAAAGGTCAGTATATAACAGCAAAGAAAAAAAGGAAATTGTTTGTCTTCTTAAGCTGCGCCCTGGGATTATAATGTGCTATCAATAGATTCTCTTGCTTTAATGTAACAATTTGTTTTGGAGAGCAAAGGCTAGTTACTCAAAAAAGTAGGAAACAAGTGCTTAGGCTGAGAATTCTAACAGATTTGGTCTACTTGTCCAAGAGTATGAGTTGAAGGACAGAAAACTATTGCCTGTCTGCCATTCCTAGAGCAAGAACCTCAAGAATAATAAAAGTTCTCACAAAAACCTAGGTTTGACTCACATTTGATTATACTCAGAAATATTTGTAATAATTGATTTTTCAAACTATCGTCCAATAATTCTTGTTAGGAAGAGTCAGTAAAAGCTAGGGGAGAAATGCCCAGGACACTGTAGTGGTGTTGTGTCACATGTGAATGGGTACTCCAGGCTTTAACAAGTTACTGTAAATTTTCTAGACTGTACTGTACTCTAGTGCTGAGAATCAGCAGGGCAGTGAACAGCATACATTTCTAAGGCACTGACTGGGTGAACATTTTAATGGAGGTTATTACTTGATATTTCTTACTGGTTTATATGTCACACTTTATATTGAACTGATCAGAAAGATTTTAGAGGCTTCATTTTGTGTTCAAAATCAGTAGAGACTCTCAACAGAGCAGGTACAAGTTTGGATTTGGTTCTTTTTTTTCCCCCCATTAAGTTTATGGTACTTTTTAGGTATATAGTACAGTTACATTCATCATTGGAGTCTTGTACCTTTACATGATCTTGGTTCTTATTTTTTCCCCGCACCCCTGCCCTCCCTTCGCCCCCTCCACCCTTCCCTATTTACAAAGACTTTTAGTTTCCATTTTTTCCTTTCTCATATTTTTTCTTTTTGCTTTCCTTTCCCCTACCTTTCCTACTTCTCTTCCTCCTTTAGCTCTTTTCTTTCTATTTTACATTATCAATTATACAATTTGAACCTTATTTACACTTTTAGTTTTTCACACCAGAGAAACTATTTGGTATTTACACATGTGTGTCCTATTTATTTCCCTTAAGAGTATAGCCATTTAGCTATAAATTCTCTAGTTTTTCTTCTTTATGGCTGAGAAGTACCCTATGTTATAGAAAATCCACATCTTCTTTATCCAGTCTCCAGTTGATGGGCATTTGGTCTGTTTCCAAGTTTTTATTACAAACTGTGACACTATAAACATGATGAGCATATATCACTGTGGTATGATTCTTTTAATTCTTTTGCAAAGATACCCCACAGAGTGATAGCTGGGTCAAATGGGACCTCTAATCCTAGTCTTTGAGGTAACTCCATACTGAGTTCCACAGTGATTGCACCAGTCTGCACTCCCAGGATTTGGTTCTATTTTATAAACTTACTTGGATATAACCTTACTTTTATAATCTTACTTGGGAATCTGTACATTGGCGTAGTTAGAGAATACATGATACAGGTGCCAGGGTACAGGTGCTTCAAGCTTTCAGTAAAGAAGAAAATACATTAGGTAGACTCATTAAGGGAGCATACTGACAGGACTAAGACTTTCACTGTCCTTGAAGATACATATTCAGTGGCCTGGTAGGAGGGGGTGGGAGCTGTATTTAGTGGCCATAGAGCTTGCCAGAGAAGCATGAATTCAGTGTTTAAAAACCAGACCAGAGTAGTACATTTTGGAAATCTCCCTGCTGAGAAGCCTTGCTCTTCTGAAGTATGAAGCATTAGCATGAACTTTTTTTCGTTGTTGTCTCTTTGTAGAAGAAGGAGGCGGAGGAATTTGCCCGGAACATGGCCATCCAGCAAGAGCTGGAAAAGGAAAAACAGAGGGTAGCACTACAAAAACAGCAACAGTTGGAACAGGAACAGTTTCATGCCTTTGAGGAGATGATCCGGAACCAGGAACTGGAAAAGGAGCGACTAAAAATTGTACAGGAGTTTGGGAAAGTGGACCCTGGTCTAGGTGGCCCACTGGTGCCTGACTTGGAAAAGCCCTCTTTAGATGTGTTCCCTACCTCGCCTGTCTCATCCACACAGCCTTCAGACTGTAATTCAACTCTAAGGCCAGCCAAACCACCAGTGGTGGACAGGTCCTTGAAACCTGGAGCACTGAGCAACTCTGAAAGTAGTGAGTCCATTTTCTGCTATTCTCTTCTATCCATTTTGTAGACAGAGTATCATTCTAAAGAGCCTGAGTTCCCCTATGATGCCACTTCGTGGGCTTTGGTCACAGAAGCCCATTTGTTAAGTAGTCATTCTGTGTCCTATCACTGGCTATCTCATAATAGTGGCCTTTGCTAAAACCATATAATTTAGACAGAGCCAGGTTAATTTTATGAAAAGTTAACACTAGCATTGAAAATCAGACACTCAACTTTGGGTTTTTTTGTTTTATTTTGTTTTTTTAAATTTGATACAGGGTTTGGCTATGTATTCCAGTACAGCCTTGAGCTCACTATGTAACCCAGGGCTGGCCATAAACTCAGTGATCCTCCTGCCTCAGCCTTCCCAGTGCTGGAATTACAGATGTGCCACCACACCCAGCTGGACTCTGATTTTTAAGGGTTATAGGAGATTTGAAATGTTGCATGAATTAGAGACCATTGTTGGCTTTTTGTAAAAATAATTTTTAAATGTATAATACTATTGTGCAATTCAATGACTGACTCTTTAAAAAAATGGGCTACTGAATTGTTCTTGCCCTGAAAGCATTCCTAATCTTTAAGGACTTTAGTTAGTCAAGGTAAACAGTGTACACAGTGGGTGATTACTCAGTTCAGCCATGAAAACTATTGACAGTCTGTGCTTCTCTCATTAATGATTGGTGATTAAGAAAATAATAGGGGCAAAATGATTAGTATACCTTGATCATTAGAGTAAAGTTTGGAGGAATTAACCTTCAAGTAGTCATTTAAAGAAGACTGTCGAGTTTCCAGGATGTTCCCTGGACTGTCTTACCTAAACAAATTTGTTAACATTTGCCTTCTGTCTAGACTCTCCATTCACTATTTCAGCCTTCCCTGCTTTTCTTGAAGTTTTTCCCAGGTCCCTTTAATCCAGTTGATTCTGTTCTCTGTAAAACTCCCAGAGCTCTTTTTACCGCTAATACAATTTAGATCATTTACCTATTAGTGTAGTCATTTGTCAATAACTAGATTTAACTTCCTGCAGGTTAGAGTTGAGTCATTCATATTTGTGTTCCCTGTGGGCTAAGCACAGTGCCTTCTTGGTACGCACTTAGTAAGCTATTACTGAATTGAAAAGAAAGGGCTGTGCCTATGCTAAACCTTAATTCATCCTCCTGAGATGCAGTCATCAAACTGCCACGTGGCTGTGAGTCTCCGAGTCTTTGTCTCTTTTCTGTCAATACAGATCTTGCTGTCACACTCACAGAAGAACATCCTTTTTTATTTTATTTTATTTTGAGACAAAATCTTGCTATGTGGCCCAAGTGGGCCTTGAACCCCCTGATGCTTCTGCTTTGGTCTCCCAAGTAGCTGGTGTTACAGATATATACCACCATACCCAAGCATATTTTCCTCTTTTAATATGAAAATATGGATGTGGATAATACTTTCTACCCATAGCTTGCTAGCTCACTCATAGAGCTTCTTTGTGGTCTTTAGGAACTGTGTCCACTCTTAGTGTCCTGAGGCAGATTTATGAGTAGTTTTATTCATGCTTTTTCAGGGAAACCAGACTATGTGTTTTGTTACTTAGAGTTTAGTATTTAATCTTTCTTCTAAAAGACTAAATTCACAAGTAAAAAACTATCCAAATTTTCTACTATCAAAAAAATATACTGACATGTTTCTTTGAAAGCCATAGTCTGATATTCCTATGAGATAAAAGAGAGATATGAAATAAAAAGTTGAGTTGAATGGGAACTTTTTTTTAAAATTCTTTATATTAGATTCTGTCAGAGAATCCCCAAATATCTCAGGATCTTTTTTTAAATAGTAGTTTAAGCTGGGCATGGTGGTGCCTGCCTGTCATCCCAGCACTTGGGAGGCTGAGGCAGGAGTAATCACTGGGAGTTCAAGGGCAGCCTGGACTACATAGAGAAAAAACAAAAGTAGTAGTTTATTCTTGTCTTACCGTGAATGATTAAAACTTACTCTTTTTTTTCATGTGATATCAAAAGCATTAACTCAAAAGTCTAATGTTCAAAATTTCATCTGAATTAGATATAGGTGAGATGTAAGACAATTCATCTTTCTTCAGCTTTGAGCATGTAATATTGACAAGTTATGTGCTTCCAAAATACAGTGTTGGGACAGGTGTAGGATAGTCACTCCTGTTCCAGAAAGAGAAATAGACTAGAAGAAAGGAGTAACTAACTAGCTGTAATTAAGTCTAAAATCCAGTAGAGAAAACATTAAGTCTTAAACCTAAAGAATAGTCTCCTTTGACTCCATGTCCTTCATCCTGGGCCCTCTGGGGTAGGGCTTGGACTCTTAAGGCCTCAGACAGCCCCATCTCTGGCTTTGCTGGGCTTAGTCCACCCAGCAGCTCCCAAGAGTTGGAGTCTTATGTTTGCAGCTTTGCAGACTGGATTCACATGCTGATGGGCCTTGTAGTTCTGGGGTCTTGAAGAGCTGTCCTGCATCTGAGACTGCAATAGGTGCTGTCCTAGAGGGACTCTTGTGGTGGCTTTGCCCTTAGTAAGTCTTGGCCTGGTCTCCCAGGCTATTTTCCAACATCATTTGAAGACTAGATAGAGGCTGCCATGGCCCTGTCACTCTTAAGGAAATTGGCTTATATGATTATGGAGGCTGAAAAACCCCTTCACAGACTTTATGCAAGATGGAGATCCTAGAATGCTGGTAGCATAGCTAAGGAAACTAAGGCCTGAGAAACCAGAGGCCACTTTTACAAATCTTAGAGTCCAGAAACCAGGAGTCCTGATGCTAAGGACAAGAGAAGAGTATCCCAGTTCTGGGAGACAGAAAAGGAAGAAATTGCCTTTCTTCTGCCTCTTTTGTTCTCCCCAGGCCCCCAGCTGATTGTATGGTGATCACTCATATTGAGGGCAGCTTTTCCATAGTCTGTAGACCCACACCCCACTTACCTTCAGAAACACCCTCACAGACACACCCAGAAATAATGTTTTACCAGTTCTCTAGGTATTCCATAATCCAGTCAGGTTGATACCTGCAATTAACCATCACAACTCCTGATTAGCTATGGCCAGAAGTTGAAGAAGAGACTTTACGATGCCCCATGGGTGACATTAGGATGAGATGCCCACTGATTTACTGAAGCTGGGGCAATCCCAATGACAGAATTACTCTTTCAGGCTGCCTGCCATGAGGTCTGCTTGGGGAGATTCAGACCTGTGGTCTCAGACTTTTTTCCCTTCTCCATTACAGTTCCTACAATCGACGGGCTACGCCATGTGGTGGTACCAGGGAGGCTGTGCCCACAGTTTCTTCAGTTAGCCAGTGCCAATACTTCCCGGGGAGTAGAAACATGTGGAATTCTCTGTGGAAAACTGGTAAAAACAAACAACCTTTCCTGAACTGAGACTGTGTCTTCTTGTCCTGAGTGACTCAGAGAAGATATCCAGGGTCAGTTACTCTTTATGCCAGTCCCTTCACAGAAGCAGCCATGAACTATCCGTAATATATAGTCCCTTAGATTTGGTGACTCTGTATTTGGGTGCTTTCCAGAGTCTCCTGAATTGAGCTGATTACTTTAATGCTATTGTTAGAAATTCTAACCTTAGTGAAAGATCCAGTTGTACCTATTTGTCATCTTCTGAGCACCTACTTTATGGTAGTATATAGGAATATAAAATATGTAAAGCATATAGTATGAGGTGTGATTGAAACACCCAGTAAATGTATAATTTTTAAAAAATTATTATAATAAAAGACATATTGCTATTTATCCCTCTAAAATACTACCCCCCCACACACACTTTGAATGCACTGTAAACTGCTTCAGAAAGTGACAATAACGATGGCTAAGTGTGTTCAAAATAAAGGAGAGTATTTTGAGAGTGATTCATGGCAGATTGTTTTTTGCTATAATACTTTTTTTGTTTAAACATTACTGTAGTTTTTGATAATCTCACATATGTCCACAAAAAGTGTCCATTCACTTCAGAGCGATAAAAAACATACCAAAAGATGTAAAGCATGCCGAATACTGTGTACAGTGTGAGCACTAGGAACTTTGAGGAAGGAAAGATCATTGAATGGAAATACTTAAAGGACTCATTAGTAACGCTGAATGAATCATGAATGAAGTGCAGGGGATTTAACATGAGCCTTGAAGGATAAGAAGGACATAACAGTGAAAGGGAAAATTGCTTTAGATGTGAACAGGGCTGTGGTATTTACCCAGGCTGTGGTGTTTCCAAGCTGTGCCTCAGATGGAGTCCCAGGTGTTGGTCTCAGCATCTGTCACTTTACAGAGCAGCCAGCAATGCACATGGGCAGCTGAGGTGGAGGGTTCAGGGAGCACATAAGAGACTCACATTGGGATGAGAAAAGGCCTCCTCTATGTAGACGTTTAACTTTTCACTGTTAGGATGGCAGATTGCAGGAGTATCAGGACAGCATGACAAGTTGTTTTCTTCTTTGGCAGATGAGGAACGAATTTACCATTACTCATGTTCTCATCCCCAAGCAAAGTGCTGGGTCTGATTATTGCAACACAGAGAATGAAGAAGAACTTTTCCTCATACAGGATCAGCAGGGCCTCATCACACTGGGCTGGATTCATGTAAGCAAATCTGAGCTAAGGGCTTGTCTTCTCTTTTCTTATTGTATAATAAGTACACTGCTTGCTTCTTTCTTGGAACAAAGTAAACAATATCCAGATTATTTATTGTTTTCCTCCTTTGGAGGCAGTGCTTAGCATCCTTTGACAGCTTGCACTCCAATTTTTAATTTCTGGGAACTGCTTAGGGCTTTTAAATTTTTAAACCTTTTGTTTATTTATTTTTAATAAAAATAAACTAATTTTCCTGAAGTTCTAGTTTCCCAGTGAATGTGAATGGGAATAGGATGCTGGCCTAAAATGTGTGCACTGACCATAGAAACTCCATCAATACTAACTAGACTATACACAAATGATGTCCCTAAAATATATACAAATCAAAATATTTTAAGTGAACTGAGGAAGTTAATCAAATGGTTGTATTCAGTCTTTATGAAGCAGCATATATCTTTATGTAAACCAGATTTGCCACCAGTATACATGTTTGCATATCTTCTGCAGACTTCTGGTAAAGTTCCAATAAAATATAATTCCTTCCCTAAAGATTATTTCTTAATTTCTTTTGATTGCTTCCAACCCCACACTCTCACAGACCAAACTGCTTTTCATGTGTAAGATGTGTGACTTGCTGACAAACTGGCTTGTTTCTGAATTGAGGAAGATCACATATACCTGTATGTCATAACAGGAAGCACTAACCTGTGAGATGGTCTCATGTGCCTTCATCCTTTCTTCAGTTCAATTGCATAAATATTCACTGATTTGCCTACTGTTGTGCCCCCCACCATTGTAGTAGATGGGCGATAGAAAACTTGCCTCCTATCTGTGAGGGGATATAAATATATATAAGATATTATTTTAGTCTCACAAGGGAGACTGCACAAATAAATAATATGCAAATCTTCCCGTGAGGTAGAGTGTGTTAAGGGCCACAAGAGGTGCCAGTAAGGCACTGTGGAATTAATTCAGAGGAAGAAGAGATCATACCTGGTGTGCTTCATGAGAATTCTGACAAGGTGGGCCAAGAGAGAACTTCATGTGAAAAAGGGGCAACGTTGGGAAGGGGAGGTTCTGAGCAAGGCAATGATACGATCAAAGCCATGCTTTAGGAAACTTCAAGGCAATTTAAGGTCGGTCGAAATAGATCATTTTAGAGGTTAGTTTGGTGATAAAATGTAGTAAGACGAGAGCTAAGGTGAGGGCAGTGCATTTGGGGAAAAGGAAGTGAAGCTAGGGCTTCATAGGAATTGGGGAATGAGTAATAAAAGATCATGAGTAAGAGTCAATGATGACTCAGGGATTTCAGGCCTGGCTCGTGGGGGTGGCAGTGATCATCTCATAAGCCGACAAAGAGAGTCCAGAAGGAGGAGTGACTTTAGAAGTGGGGTTCAGTTCTGAGCATGTGATTTTAAGGTATTTGTGAGACATCAGGTTGTTGGAGATAGTTAGCAGACAGTTGGAGCCAGGTATGTGGGAGCAAGGTCAAAGCAGGAGGAAGATCTGGGAGTCTTCTGCTCGGAGCTGGCCTTGAAAGTAAGCAGGGAGAAATGAGAGCAAGAGATGTATCGACAACTTGGGACATGAGCTAACAAATTGTTGGTAGTAAAACGGATGTGTGAAAAGTTAAATTTCATGTTAGGGCACAGAAATCACAATAGGAGGGACATTCTGAGGAAGAATTTCAGGATACTAATTGTGCCACATAATACATAGAACTCCAGTATGATGAAGTCTTGGCTCAGCCCATTGGATTTGGTGAAGTCACTGAGGATGTTGGGTTAGTGGGTTTTAGGCAGTGGTGGGGATGGACTATAAGTTTTAAGAAGTCTTGGGGATTGAAGTTGTGGCAGTAGTGAAGTAGGCACTGCCATTTTAAGGAGCTTATCTAGCGGGATGGAGAGAGATGTCATGGTGATGTGAACCTAAACTAAACATGTACTTTAGTGAATCTTGATGTGTAAGTGAGGAAATAGGATGCTGTCAGGGACCTGCTCCTATCCAGTCATATTTCCTTTTTGGAAAAAGTGAGCCTTCTGCTTTTCTCATTGTTCCTTCCTTGCTTTATTTATAGATTACCACTTAACGTGTATCCCTAAACACTATAGTTTAGCTGTGCTCAGTTTTGACCTTTTTATAAATGGATCTATACAATATATATTTTTTTATTTCTTCTTTTTTTCTACCTTTTGAAGGTTCACCCATATTCTTGGATGTAGTTGTCTGAATGTGTTTTTATTTTCAATGAGTTAGTGTAAGAGGAGTAAAAGAGCAAGAGAAACGAGGTAGTCTGACAGGAAAGTGTCAAATCAGAAGTACAAAAGGGGTTCATCTTGCCATGGGGAGAGAAAACACCTATTCCTCCAAGACCAGATTAAAGAAAGAAAGGTATACAGAATTTTGAAACAGAGAACTCAAGGGAATTCATTTCAGATAATCTTGATTTTGGTAAAGTTAAGAGTCCAGTTCTGCTGCTAGAGATAAATTTAGACACTGGAGGAGATGGAGAAAGTTTGGGATAATTACTATTTATACTTAGGTAGAACTTGGCCACAAATGAATAAAGGTTTCTAATTATCCTTGAAGGCCCAGCTATGAACAAATTTAGAACTTCAATTGATAGTAGTTCAGTTATTTTCCCCTCATGACATTTATGTACTATTTCTTCCTAATTTGAGGTAAAAAAACGAAAAACAAGAAAAACAGACCATAAGTTTTATTCAGATCTTAACATTCAGGAGAATGCAAAAGATCAATTCTCCTTCTGCACCTTACCAACTATAAATCAGCTTCCTCGGGCAAAAACATTGCATGGTCACAAGGGCAAAAAATGAAAACCAAGACCTGTCATGTAAAGGTACAAGATCCCAATAATAAATGTAACTGTACTGTGTACCTAAAATGTACCAATAAACTCAATTAAAAAAAAAAAACATTGCATGGTCACATAATGATCATAAACTATTGGCAACTCCTCCACCACCAGTACTGAGGGTCTCTTCTTCCTCCTTCTGTCTTAGCTCTTCTTAGACCTCACTGCTTTTTTTGTGGCTGCTATGCTCTATCAAGGCATGTAGGGCATTCTTAGCATACACTCTTCTTGCTCACTGCCCTGCTTTGGCGTATTGTTTCTTTATGAAAGTGCCTTCCTTGATCCATAGCAGAGTAGACACAGTGAACATAAAACTATTTGTTCAATAATCGTGACTGGGAAAGGAGGGAGAGAAGGTATAGTAGCTTAGGGGTAGGGGAGCAAAACAAGGCTTTTTTATTCAGTGTCATTTATTTACCAAGCCCCTGTTGTATTTCCTTATTATCTTTTCAAGCCACCCAACTTTAGATTTTAGGCCTTGATTAGCTGATGTTGGCCTCTCAACCTTGTGCTTGCAAGGTAGGCACAGTGCCACTTAGCTAAACCACTGGCCCTGGTGTAGCCCTCTCCTGCTTCCAGCTTGAATCCCAGGCTCTAACCATGGGATGAATAGTGTTGGCTCAGGCCTTGCTCCCTGCTAGTCTAAAGGAGTATGTTACCATCAGATGGAAATTGTTTGTCCTTGTGGTCACCAAAGTTCTTACACGCCCTCTGAGGACCCGTGTGGATCTGCTGCCAGCACTCATCTGACACACTTTTGCTCTACAAACCTATTCTCCTCTTGTAAGATTTTCTCAGCATTCTGCAGAGTGGTGTTTCACAGATAAAGCTGCATATCAGGATCGTGTAATGAGCTTTTAAAAAGTATTCACTCTCATGATGAATATTTCCACGAAGTACTATAAGAGTCTGTGCTTTTGATAAACTCAGGAGAGTTGAGACCAGAGCAAAAAACATCCACAGATAGTCTTCTCCTATCTCCAGCCCTCAAGCATAGATGCCTTTGTGGTTCTCCACTCTTGCTGTACCTGTGGTCTTTGCTCTACAAGTTTTACTCTACAGCATGTTTGAAAACACTAGTCAGTTGTACCTGTTTATTTTCTGAGCTTTTTCTATCGGTGAAGGTTTGTGTCCTTTTTGAGTCCGTATTGGATCTTACTCTTTTCATCAAGAGTCACACGCCCTCTAAGGCAAATGTAAGTCTATATAGTTGTCTGTTTTGTATATAATATGCCTAAATAAGACATTAATACTTGGGAACGAATGAAAGAAAATGAATGCCTATTTATATGTTGCTTTAACTGATTACCCTCAGATTTCAACATCTTGTTCTCCTTCCAAAGAAGCAGGCTCCTTTGCCTGATTTAAGGAGCCCCTGAAATCTGAGCAACACCTACCTTCTGTATCTTCCCTGGATGATGCTTTAACTGCAGAGTAACTTTTGCCCATATACACTTATGCTTGACCTTTTAACAATACCTCTTTCAAGAAGAAGAATCATCCATCTAACTGTGGTTTATTAAGTGCTTGACTTCTATCATGTTGAAATATTGGGCAACATGTTCCATCTGTTCAGAAATGGGTGATTCTCCATTGGTATAGAGAGAGCTTACCAGGAGCTAGTTAGAAATAATGAGACTCTAGAACAACCAAAGCTTGAATCATACAGAGAGATACTCATACTGCTTGCTTCAAGGAGATAAAAAGAAATTCCCAAAGGAAGTTCCTAGGGCTGTTCTCATGCCATTCGCCATGGGTTTTTGGTGGGGTTTTTTTTGTGTGTTTTTTTCCCCTTTCCTTCTGTCTGCTTTTCTTTCTGTCTGCCTGCCTGCCTTCCTTTCTTTCTTTCTTTTTCTTTCTTTCTTTCTTGTCACAAAGACAGAGTCTTGCTGTGTAGTCCAGGCTGGCCTTTATATGCTGATCCTCCTGCTTCAGCTCCCAAGTGCTGGAATTATACATCTGTGCCATGCCTGGCTACCATTCACCATTGTTGAGGACACCTACCTACTTTGTCCATGGATAACAGATTCAATTTTGTGGATCTCAGGGTGAATCTAACATCAAAGTCCTTAATTGTTTTTTTTTAGTTTAAGAACAGGAGGCCAGAGCAAAAAATATCCACAAATAGTCTTCTCCTACCTCCAGCCCTCAAGCATAGATGCCTTTGTGGTTCTCTACTCTTGCTGTACCTGTGGTCTTTGCTCTACAAGTATCCTCAGTTGTCCCCACTTTCCCCACCACCACACTGGGCTCTCCTCTTATCTTCACACCCAAGAGAGGCAGTTACTGTCACTTTTCTTCTCCCTGTGACACCTGAGATGCAGCTGCCCCCTACCCCTGCACACCTGCCACACCTGAGACAGCATATCTAGGTCTCCACACTCTTGACTTCCACAAAGCCATATCCCAGATGCCTACAACCCTTGGCCTATCTCCTGTTCTCAGACAAAAGAGGCAGTTCCTGGCCTGCTGAGTCTGCAACACAGGTCTCAAACTGCTCTGCCCACTAGATGTGAGTATTGACGCCCCCACACAAATGTACACCTCTCCTCTTGTGGCTCTATACTTGTGATGCCTTCCACACCCCAGATAGAGGTCTCCTCATCAGAATCCTAACTAAGCACAAGTATGGATGTGCATGTCTGACACACATAACCTATGTAGGCTACCTAGCCAGTTTCTTGGCTTTTGGACCACGATGTTGGCTTCTGCCTTGTCCATTCTGACCTTGGAAGTCAATTCATCTCCACTTTGAAAGTCTTCAAGTGTCAGCATTACATATCAATATGTATTTCCCTCATAAACCCCCAGATGGAAGGCTTGCGCTGACCTCTCCATACCCCACGAGTTGAATGGCTTTCCATTTGCCCTTTGCTTTGATACTTCCCCTTCCCAAGCTCTAGCCTACAGCTCACCGCCCAACCAAAAATTCCCGAACCCATTAGATTGCATGAACCAATGAGATCAAAGTTCCCATTATGAATAGTACAGAGAGAAAAGTTTTCCCCTTTCTGTTTTCTCTCCTCTTTTTTGTCTCCCTCACCACCACAAGATACTAGCTGCCTAATATCTCTAATGTCACATGAAAAGCAAGGAACCTTCAATCTTCTTGGTCCTCAGTTCATTCTTGCTTCCTGAGAAGGTCATATGAGTGAATTAAATGAAATGTGCTATGTTATTTCATATCTTGTCTATAACTAAGGTTGTATATGTACTTTTCTGGGCTTAGCACTACATTTTTTCTGTCAGACGTAAATCTCCATGAAATCTCAGGATAGGGTTCTGCTCAATGTATGTGAGGGCATCTCTAATGTATCCAGCCACCCAAGAACTGAAATGATATCTTCCCACAGTGCTTTCCAGAAAAATCCCTACCTAGTTAGCTGCCATTCTGTCAATGGATTAAATGTAAGTTACTTTATTTTCTTTGTCACTTTCATCCCCTTGCCCTCTCTCACTGCATTCCTCACTACAACAAATTCTTCCAGCTTCCAAAATTTGCTTATTCATTCCTTTTATTCTGTAAAGTCTTTTATTCATTTTATTCCTTGTTTTCTAGGACTTTATAATCAGAGCATATCTTTTTCTTTTTGACAAAAATTTTGTATATATATGCATATATAATGTACAGCATGGTGTTTTGAAACAAAATCATGAATCTCTTTGTATGTGTTATATTTGTTTACAAAACTGGAAAGGAACTTTCCTTATTATGAACTTCAAGGGTATCCCTCCTAATTGCAGATGTCTTTGTACATACTTGTAAAGGAGGTTGGGACCAGCTGTTGGGAAGTCCTTGGTCCTTCCTTCATGGACAGGTGTGGATGTTTGTATTCATCGAGAGCTCTTGGCTTGTTTTCTCTTCTCAGACTCATCCCACACAGACCGCCTTTCTTTCCAGTGTTGACCTACACACTCACTGCTCCTACCAGATGATGTTGCCAGAGTCCATAGCCATTGTCTGTTCCCCCAAGTTCCAGGAGTGAGTACCCAGGACATGGTTCTCTATTACAAGGAGGTAGTAGGGAAGAAAGCCTCAGAACGAAAGGTCTCTCTTCTTGAGACCATACTTCTTTATAAACTATATAGGTTGTAGTGTTAATTGGCTGTTCTAGAAGCTTCCTTTAAGCAACATGTTCTAAAATACCTAGCTCACTTATTTTAAAAGATATCCAAGTAACAACTTTGGTGCTCTTCTAAAAAAAAGTTCACAAGAAATTTGAAGTTTGATTTGAAGTGATAGTAATTTCAAGAGTTTGATGTTGGATTAAAGAATTTCAAATCAAACACATTACCTCAGAGTTTTCAATTCTTTTTCATTCCAAATCCTGTTTATTTACTACAAAGTCTTAGCAACATTTATGTGGTAGCAGTAATGAATCATCTTTTAACTATGATTTGTTCACCACTAGGGAGCCTATAAGAGCATTCTATTGAAGTTGTCTCAAAAAAAGTTCTCCCCTGCTCTGTGTGTGTGTATGTGTGTGTGTGTGTGTGTGTGTGTGTGTGTGTGTGTGTTTGTGCATAGTTGTATGTGTGTGTATACATGCCTTTGATAGGGATGGGGGATACCATTGCTCGACTCTGAACCTGCCTTTTTTGGTTTCAGAACCGGATTCTTTAAATTAACTGACCATGGACTAGAGGAGATTTCTTCCTGTCGCCAGAAAGGATTTCATCCACACAGCAAAGATCCACCTCTGTTTTGTGTATGTATCTATGGAGGAGAAATTTAGGCTGTATTTTCAGTAGATGAGGTGCATCATCTTTTCTGACCCACACTGAAGATCAGCCTGTCACTTAACTTTTTCAGGTCTATATAATAAAGATGTGCGTACATGGAAAGCAGTGTGGGTTAGAATTAGATTTGAGTTATGGCTCTGCCACTTAATGGCAATAGATAGACAGACAAACATATTTGATGCTACTTACCCTTCTAGTGACTCATCTTTGTCATCTGTAAAGTATGTATAATAATTCATTTTTCTTTTTGGTACTGGGAATCAAATTCATGACCTTGCTCTGGCAAGATAGGCACAGTGTCACTGAGCTAAATCCCCAGCCCAATAATTTATTCTTTATACTGTGGTGGAGAGAATTTCTGGCTTGAACCCCCAGCGGAACATGCATGACTTCCCCATTGGGCAGCTTGATCCATCAGTGGTACATGCGTAAGTGTTCCATTGGGAGACATGGGACAGTCCCATTGGGTGGTACAAGCTTCCCAGTGGGACAGTCATGCATATGTGACCCTACTGTGAATGTGTTAAATGAAGTAGAGGCTGGAGGTGCAGCTCAGCAGTAGAATGTATCTTAGCATGTGTGAGGCCCTGTTCTCAGTCCCTGGCACTGCTCCCACACCCCCCAGTAATATGTCGAAAGTACCTAAGCTAAGGTGATAGCTGGCTTATTAAATGTTAGTTTTGTTCTTCATCAGTGGCCATTGATAAGCTTGTACTTTATTAAGAGATCTGAATTTACAGGGGAAAACCCTCTTAAGTTAAAAGTAAATATATTTGATTCTGGAAATTTGCTTAGATAATGGGGATTTTAGAACCTTTCTAGGAAGTTGTTTTCTTCCCCTAAGTTCTATTCTGTGAATAACAAGTTTAGTGGATGATAAGATCACTATGTTTCAGTTTACCCCAAAGTCAATTGTGATAGTTTTGCTTTTCTCCACACTACCCTGGAGGATGGCTACTTCTTTTTGGATTCAGAGAAAAGTGACCAATATGAAAAAGAGACTCACAACCCTGTCATGTAAAAAGAACTGGGTCACAAGTTCAGGCCCAGCCTGGGCAGCTTAGCAACTTAGTGAGAACCTGTCTTAAAAAAAAAAACAAAACAAAAAAAACAAAAAAAACAGAACACACACACACACACACACACACACGAAAAAGAAAATAAAAGCTCAGTGTGAAGGCCCTGGGTTCAATCCCCAGTACTAAACATAGAGAGAGATAGAGAGGAGGTGGGAGGGAGGGAGAGGGAGAGAGAGAGAGAAAATGGTGAAAAACCTCCAGAAAGAATCTAAGGGCTAACTTTAAGTAATAGAGAGCTAATGTATAAAAAATGTATTGAGTATATTTCATACCACTCCCAGCACTAAAGCTAAGACCTCAGGGAATGATAGCTTTCAGCTGAATAGAAGGAAGAATTTTGTAACAGATCTGTTCAAAATTTATTCTGTCTTCAATATAATAAATTTGTAGGTACCAGGATGTTAAAATAGAGACTGCACACTTAGAAAAAAAAGTCTGAGACACCAATGCACAGGTTTCTAGTTACAAAGACCCCTTTTGCATGCCCAAAGTGAGCATTTTTCTGTGATAGTAAGTGTACTTTATTATCTAATTAGCATAATGACCCAAAAAACTATAATGACTCTACTAATTCTTGTAAATAAATGTGTATTTTGCAAACAACTCTAGAATATATGTACATTTGAAAAATAAAGATTTATGGGCAGACATTGGTTTAGTCTAGAAATAGGACTTGATAGAAGCAATGATTCCCAGACCCCTTACCATCACTGCCACTTAAGTAGCAGTCTGGCTTCCAGATGCTCTAATGAGCATTTTAAATGAGGAGTCTTTAAAAAATTACTTTTCAGAATTTTCCAGGACCTCACCTTTCATTTTCTCTGTTGCAGAGCTGTAACCATGTGACTGTTGTGGACAGAGCAGTGACCATCACAGATCTGCGATGAGAATTTGACTCACACACCTGAAACTATAAAACCATGTCAGTGTACTGTAGCCCCTTAAGATGAGCTTTCCAGAAAGCTTTCGAAGCTTTTAAAGATAGAATAGGGAAGGGACATCACCTGGGGAAGAATTGAATTTCTGTATCTGGTTTGAAATGAAAGAATTGGATGTATTTTTTAGGCAAATCTGGAAACATGCATGATAACACTAAAGCAATTAATTCTAAAATTAAATTGAAAGAATGGTATAATGAGCGCTCACATACCCTTCTTTCTAGATTCACAAATTGTTAACCTTTCATTGTTCTCAGCTATCTTCTAATTTATCTGCCAACTTGTTTATATCTACCTTTTCACTAAATGAGGGCATCTATACAGAAATTTGGAAGCCATTTAGAAATCCTTTGGGATTTTCTTTTGGTTTGGGCAATATTAATGGCACTGATTACAAGGGTGAGGGGCAGCTCACTATATCGGAGCAGATGGTGAGGCTCAGGAACCCTGAAGAATGATGTTATCAGGAATTATGTTATTTAACAAATACTTCAGGATATTTTTGCTCTATAATAAAGTAACACTTAACTTATTTTATTGGGCTCTAGAGTGATCCATTTGATCAAGCCTCATATAAACAAGTTGAATGAAAGGTCTGGTTGTTCTGGAAAAGATGAAGGGAAAAGGAATTTGAGATGTGCCAACACTGAGGTGTGTCCCACTTCACTTTTTTAATTGTTTGGTGTTTTTTCTCTGTCTGCTGCTGAAGTCATCTCTCTTCTTCTGGTGCTGTCTCAAGTTGGTCACCCCTTTTTTCCTCCTTATGCCCCACAAGCTTTCAGATGAGGGTAGTAGAGCCTTTATCTGGAGCACCAGGTTACACTTCAACTAAATGGTAACATTCCCTAGCCGCCCCACCTCACAGATTCCATCGTGGTGCATATTCTGACTTGAGCAATACTTAGGAATGTGTGTGAAGCTGTAGTTGATTCTTTTTTTTTTTTTCTGTGACCTGAGCCTAGTGTTCTAAGATGGCCTAGAAATAACGTTGGCACTGTGATACCTCGTATATAGAATAAGGGTACTACAGTGAATTCTTGAGTAGAAGAGTGATTTAATTCTATATCAGAATGGGAATATATGAAATTTTGCTTCAATTTTAAAGTTTTGTGTTCTGACTGTATCCAGTCTTTATTTCTTAAGTTATTGGTAATTAAAATTTTGCCTGGAAAAGTCAAATCTTTATATATTTTTTTCTTTTTTGTACCAGGGATTGAACTCTGGACCTTGCATGTGTGAGGCAGGTGGCATCACCAGTGAGCTAAATCACCAGCCCTCAGATCTTTATATTCTTGTGCTTTGTTTCAATTCTTAACTCCCAAGGTATCAGGAATTCTTTTTTCTGAAGTTTTTGGTGTAAGTTAGGATGGGGTTCCAAGTGGGCTTGATTCCCTGGCTGTGACCCAGCGTTAGCCTGGCTGTATCTTTTTGTCCTGAGCAGACCCGAAATTGCCCAGTCCTGTACTTTACAGGAAATCGATCCCTTTGTTCAGGCACTTCTCCAGGCACTGCTTAGTTTGGGGTTATATTACCTTTTGCTTGGACTATTGCAGTAGGCTTTTATTAGGTCTCTTTGTGTTCACTGTGTACTATACAGTCATCCTCATATCTCCTCTCTTGCTCAGAAACCCACAGTGACTTTCTATCCACTAAAATCTAAATTTCTCCTTTATTTAGAACTTTCCTTCTAGGGGCCACATAATTTTCTTACCCTATCTGTACTTTTAAATAGGGAACTTTCAAAGAGATATTCATCCCTATACCCCTCCCCATAGCAGTTAAATCTGAATCTCTGAGGTGGATGCTAGACATTGTTTTTGTTCTGTCTTTTTCTGTCTTTAAAGCTGCTAGGATTTGCAAGTGGAGCCAGAGTTGGAAACCAAAACAGTAGTCATTTACACCTAGGAATTATGAGCTCTTTTCAAACTCTACACATCACTGACATTCAGTGAATATTTTTTGAGCCCAAGTGAACTGAAGGTATTGTAATCATGTCTATTACTAAGTAATTGCCAAACTGCCATATTTTCTTGCCTCTGCCCTTGTGCATAAGATATCTTAGTGGCTAAAGGGTGCAGTAAATCAGTCTACAGATTCCCCATTTGTACCTGCTGCCATCTAGCCACCCAAAGCACAGGATTTGGTGTCTCTCTCTTCACTTTATCTTGGTGGGAGATATAAAACCAGCCCATAAGGAAGCAGGGAGACCGGGTAGGCAAGTGGGCAAGAAGAAAGCAATATTGTGATTAAAGGAGACTCAAACCATGAAACCTGAGGACAAGCCTATGTTGGAAGGGTAATGACTACTCAGCTACAGAGATTGATACCTGGACTCCAGAGCCTAAAAGGCCGGGATGCTTTTCCACTCTCAAGCTGCACAAGTACCATGTTTAATGGTCTAGGCTGAGAGGGGAGACGGAGGCAATGTCTACTGGCATTGCAGTTGATCTCCAAAGCACAGACGACCCACCAGCATGCCACACACTAGTGCAGAGAGCCTCTGAGTGCTGCTTTGCTGGGAGATGGGAGGGATGGGTCTTTCAGGTAATTGTGTTTACAAACTCCTAGTTAAGTGGAGCTAAAGAGGAGAAGAATCCTGAAGCTTTTACAGTGTTCCCAAGGGTACTCAACTGTCTTGGTTACTTTTCTCATTGCTGAGACAAAATTCCTGACACAAAAATTTTTTTTTAATTTATTGGTACATTCTAGGTAGACAGTAGAGTCACATTCATTACTGGGATCTTGTACCTTTACATGCCAGGTCTTGGTTCTCATTTTTTCCCCTTGTCCCCAAAAAACCGCCCCTCCCCTCCCCCCCTTCAAACACTTAAATTCCATTTTTACATTTTCTCATATTTTTTTCCTTTTCCCTTATTCCCCCTTCCCTATCCTTCTCACTGTCCCTACACCTTTGGTCCTTTTCTTCCTATTTGTTAAGTGTCCCATTAGGATCTTGAGTACTATTTTAGTTTTTCACACCACAGATACTGTTCGGTACCTGACACAAAATTAAGGAAAGAAAAGTTTATTGTATCTCATTGTTTGTAGAGGTTTTAATTCATAATTGGCTGGCTCCAAGGCAGGCTGGCTTGGCAGAGGGGCATTGCAGGGAAGAAACAGTTTATGGTGGGCAGAAGGCAGCAAAGTAGCAAAGAAGCGTAGCAGGGCCCACCTCCCTTGATGTTGATGGATTTTGGGCTTCATTTTTTCCCAATAGAAAATGTTTTTCAGGTGAGGTTTGAGAAGAATAGAAGCTGCCGAGGGCAGAGCTTTAATGAGTAAAATTCCAGTGAATCCTACAACTAGTCTGTTTCAAAAGAATCTTTTCTTTTTTCTCTTTTGAGACAAGATCTTGCTATATAGTTCAGGCTGCCCTTGAACTTACTAATGTAGTCCAGGCTGGCCTCAAACTCATGGCAATCTTCCTGCCTCAGCCTCCCAAGTGCTGGGATTAGAAAGGTGTGCCACCATACCCAGTGGTCTCAAATGAATCTTTAAGAACAATTTTAGGTCCAGTTGTTTTTCTCTAGAAAATAGTCTAAGTTCAATCTTGGTATTGTGCCTCCTATCCTCTTATATTTCAGTGTTTCAATCCCACCTGGGTGTAGAGACCATTTTGTCCAAGGATCTTTGAAATATGTCAGCCTAGAGTGGAGCTTCTGGGTGAAGCCTTATTTCTTTCTGCGTGGAGCCTTATTTCTCTGTGTGGAGCTTTGCCTAGGACACTAAGAGGGCCTGTTTGGATCAGGACCATTAGAACATTATCCTCTGGAGAGAAAATGGCAGTTTGAATATTTAAGGCTTGGCTGTTCATTCTCCAACTCAATCCAGCAACTTGCCCAGCTCCTTTAAAGCTTATAAAATGGAGTTGGTCTAATATACCAACCTCAAATGAGGAAAAAATGGCATCTGCATGCAAATAAGGCCTGTGAGAGTTGAAAGATGTTATAAAGACTTAGGGATTTTTTTTCTCACCCTCCCTCCCTTTTTCTTTCCCTTGCTCCCTTCCTCTCTTCTTCCCTCCCTCCCTTTCCCTTTCCCTCTCTCCCATACTGAGATTAAACCCAGAACCCTTTCTCTGAGCTACATCTCCAGACACACACCCCACTTTTGAGACAGGCTCTTGCTGTGTTACTAAGTTGCCCAGGCTGAGTTCAAACTTGCAGTCCTCCTGCCTCAGCCTCCCAGAGTGCGGGATTACTGGCATGCATCACCAATAAAAGCTGTTTTGTATATCTTGAAACTCCTACTGGGCTTCTGTCCCTGCAGCTTCCAAGTAAATGACTCTTAAGGCACATTCATGTTCTTTATCTCTAGCAGGGCATTACACCAGATCTCTGGCCTGCCCTTATGTTCTGAGCTGGTAAATCAAGGGCCTCATGAACTGTAAGAGTCATTTCAAACTTCTGCTCATTTTCCCTAGGGCCCAGAGTAAAGCCAGGACCTAAAGAGATTCCGCATCTCTTTTTCCCTTGGCTCTATCCAACTCTTGCTTGAGCCTCCCACTTTTGTTGTTTCAGTTACTGCTTGAGATCAAGGAAGAAGAACATAACATACATAATCTTCACTCAAGTTTTACTCCTGTAACTAAGGTCCAAATTTTAGTTAGCCTTTGCTTACCTGAGGTTAGAAATGGGGCCTTAAACTTATAGAGTAGTCTAGCATTATCCTCTGAGCCTGTTAGATTTGGAATCCAGCCTAGCATGACCCTAGGCCAGTGGTGGCAAACCTATGGCATCCATGGGGCTGTTTGTTATCACTGAAAACTCTAAAAGGTTCACCATCACTGTCCTAGGCTTTGTGTCCTTCAACCGTCAAATGTGCTTCCCTTTAGGCTAGGTTCAAGTTCTACTTCTAGTGATTCCTTTTATTGGCAGATTCACTTAGGGAGCTTCCTTAAACTTCAATGATGTTGTTATTTCCCATAATTTGGTGTATGTTTTTTACTGTTTTGTAATGTGTTCTTACTGTCTTTTTTGTTTGGTTGGTTGTTTTTTGTTTTGTTTTGTTTGTATTTTTTTTTGGTACCCGGGATTAAATTCAGGACCTTATGCTTGCAATGCAGACGGTGGAACGACTGAGGTAAATCCCCAGCCCTCTTATTGTCTTTTGTTTTTTGGGGGTTTTTTTGTTTTGTTTTTTGAGACAGGGTCTCACTATGTAGTCAAGACTGACCTGGAACTCACTATGTAGCCCAGGCTGGTCTCGAACTCACAGTGGTCCACCTGCCTCAGCCTCCTGAGTGCTAGGATTACAGGGGTATGCCACCACGCCCGGCTTCTCTTATTGTCTTCTTAAGTGAGTCATGTCTCTGAATTCTCAAGTAAATTCTCTTAGGGTTGGGACCATGATTGCTTTATTCACTGTGTTAAATGCCTTTCACTCAGTTTAACATTTCCTTACTGTTTAGCTATTCCTTGATATAGTTCTTAGTGTTGAATCATATTAGGAAGCAAACTAGACCCATGCCCAAACCCTGAGAAGCTCCACCCCCCACCCTATGAGATGCCATCTTGGTTTCCTGAAGCAGCATCATGTCTTGGGTCTGTACTACAGTTGAGCTCTCCCTATAATTGCCAGCATAGATAGTTGTCTGCCAACAGGCTTAGTTAATGGGTAGTCAGAGGAAGATGTACAAAGAAGGCTAAAAAGGGGAGGGCAGAGAGGCAGGAGGAGACAGGAGATAGTGGCACCACTATCTTGTTAGAGAAACTAAGGAAGGCAGTTTAAAAAGAGACATCAGGCGGCTGAGGGTGTAGCTCAGTAGTAGAGCACTTGACTAGCATGTGTGAGTCCTTAGATTCAATACCCAGTTCCACATACAAGCAAACAAAAAGCCAAAACAGACATCAGAGCTGCCAAATAGCTCAGAAGTAGCTTTCTGGGTTTTGGCAATTAGCAGAGGCCTTCCCAGACAACTCCATTTAAAGTACTTCTACCCCACCACTCTATCTACATCCACTTCTTTACTGTCTATATAGCACAGTCAGTAGCTGAAATTGATCCTTTTTGTTTATTTCTAGCCTATATATCTAAAGTACACTTCCTGAGAGAGCATCTTTGTCTTTTCATCTTTTTTTTTTTTTCTTTTTTTTTTGTATCGGGGATCGAACTCAGGACCTTGCTCTTGCAAAGCAGGCAGTGGCACCACTGAGCTAAATCTCTAGCCCAACCTTGTTCACCCTTGTATCCTCAGACTCCTGAAGAGTGCCTGACCCACAGTGAGGTATGAGTAAGTGCTCATACTTGTCCAAAGTCATCCAGCTAATAAGTGTAAGTAGGGTTTTGCTTTTTGGAAACAGAGCACATTTTTGTGCACATTTTCAATAATGATTTTAAAGATTGTGTAATTCTAAAATAAGAAATTAATCATACACGGTGTCAGAGTTTGGATCTTGTGTCACCCAAGGGTCCACATGAGAAAGGCTTGGTCACCAGCTTGTGGCAGTATTGAGAGGCAGTAGAACTTTCAAGAGTTGGGGCCTAGTGAAAAGAAGTTACATCATTGTGGGGGTGTCCTTGAAGGGGATATTGGGACCCTAGCTTATTCCTCTCAATCTCATTTTGCTTCGTGGCCACCATAAGGGGAACCATTTTGCTTACCCACGTATTCCCGGTTGTGATATTTTGCCTTGGTCCCAAAAAACAATGGTGTCAACTGATCATAGACTGAAATCATAAGCCAAAGTAAATCTTTCTTTTTTGTTTATCTTGGGTATTTTGCACAGTGACAGAAAGCTGAATAACACAAAAGGTTATCTCTTAAAAGGTAAAAGAAAGTAACATTTGTGTGTTTTAATCTAATTTGTAGACAAGCACTTAATCTGTTTTAATCTAACTGTGGACAGGTACAAAACATAAATCCTCCTTTGTAACCCAGAACTCCTTGTTCAGTATGAGTTTTCATGCATAAGAGAAGTAATATTTTTGCCAGGCACAGAGGTACATGCCTATAATCCTATCACTTCTGAGGCTAAGGCAAGAGGATCACAAGTTTGAGGCCAGCCTGGACTACATAGTGAGACCCTGCCTTAAGGAAAAAAAAAAAGACCCACAATACAGTTTAAAAAGATGGAGATATTGATAACCACTAAGATTAGTTCCAAGACTAGGGCTAGGGATTTAGCTCAGTAGTTCTGCTGCCTGCCTTGCAGGCACAAGGACCCAAGTTTGATCCCCGGTACCTCAAAAAAAAGATTAGTTCCAAGACTAAAGAACTAATAACTAGATATCATAAAACATGAGCAAAAGCTCTTAGCTCTCTTGATACAGTATTACAGTTTTTATGTTGTACCACATGTAGATAGCTTTTTGTTTCCCCTTCTCTAAAGGCTTCCTTGATGAGAAAATGAGGTCTGTCTGCAGTTGAAGAAATATCTTACTGTAAGTGTTGGATCATATTTGTTTAAATGTAGTTAGTAGTAAATTATCAAATTTAATCTGTATAGGTTTCATTTTAATAAAACATTATTGTGGCTTTCTTTAATTCCAATTAGGACATTGATTTCCAAAAAGCAATCTTGGATTCAAGTATTTCATACTCATGTGGTGCCAGTTGCATTTTACTTGAAAATTTTAGAGAGCCCCAAATCTGAGTCTATAGCAGTAATCTAAACCTTGGATTTCCCAGTTCAAGCATACGACATCACTTAGAATTAATAATTTAAAGTGAGGGGGAACATTCAGCAGTATAATGTAATTAATGATATATACGTTGTAAGAGTTCATAAATCTGAGTGATAACTTAGTTTAAAATTAATGAATTTGTTTTATTCTTACTGATAACACTGGGTCCTACCATGATTACAACCACATAAATATTTTTCTATATTTTATAATTGACATCAAATAAGGAGAAAATATTTTATGGAGCTCTTTGATTCTGAGGTAAGAATTCACTTAAAATAGGCTGTGAATTTAATAGGCAAACATGTCTACAATCCATTTTTAATTCATAAGAGTCAGACTACAATTGAAATATTTTTTCCTTTAGCTCATGTAAAGAAGCTGCTTACCAGGACATAGTGGCATATACCTGTAGTCCCAGCACTCAGGAGGCTGAGGCAGGAGGATCACAAGTTCAAGGCCAGCCTAGACCACATAGTGAGACCATCTCAAAAAGAAGGTAAAAGAAAGCAAGCAAGAGAATAAAAACTGCACATGTAGTCATTCATCTTTCATTTAGAAGTAAAAATGGAATATCACAAATTAAAACTTCTGGAATTTCTACAAATTCTACAGAAGACTTCAAATGTTTTAGTTACTTAGTAAGAAAGAGTTGAATGACATGAATTAAGCATTGGACTTCAAGTATAAAAAAAGATAAAATATACCAGAAAAGACAAGAGAAAAATAAAGCAGAGATTACTTCAATTAAAAACAGGAGAATAGTTAGAAGCATAATGACATTCTTTGAAGAAGCAAAATAGCCAAAGAAAATATATACAAAATTAGAAATGAGCAAGGAGTTATAAAAATACATGATACAAGAAAATTGTGGGGTCAGGGATTTAGCTCAGTGGCACTGTGACTGCCTTGCAAGTGCAAGGTCCTGAGCTTGATCCCCAGTACCCCCCTCCCCCCAAAACACAAAATTGTGCACATAACTAGGCTAATGAAGCCAAAATTATCTTAAGTGGAATACTTCCAAAAGGTGAAAAGTGTGAGCATTATCTGCACATGCTTTTAATGAGTTCTTTCACATTTTCAATAAATATGTAATTCTCATGCCATTTTTATTGTGATAAAAGATACATGACATTTACCAACTGTGTTAATCTGTTTTGTATTCCTATAACAAGAGACCTGAGGCTAAATAATTTTATGAAGAAGTTTATTTTGGTGTACAGTTCTGGTCCAACCAAGATCAAGGCCCACATCTAGTAAAGGCTTACTTAGTAGCAGAGTTTCAAGGTAAGAAACAGGAAGAGAGAGAGAGAGAGAGAGAGAGAGAGAGAGAGAGTGTGTGTGTGTGCATTCTCTGATCTCTCTTCCTCTTATAAAGCCACCAGGATTCAGTAAGAGGGTCTTGATTCTCGTGACTTTCTGTCATCCTAATCATTTTGCAAAGGTCCCTCCTCTAAACACCACCAGATTAAATTTCCACCCTCTTAATCTCACAGTGAAGATTAAATTTCTCAAATGTACAGTTTAGTCATGTTAAAGATATTCACATTGTAAAAGAGATCGCTAGAACTTTTTCATCTTTTGAACTGAGACTATATACCCACTAAATTGTAACTCCCTTTTTCCTCTACCCCTCAGTTCCAGGAAACCACCATTCTTTGTGTCTCTCTGAAGTTGGTTTCTTTAGAATTACACAGTGTTTGTCAGACATTTTGTGACTGGCTTGTTGCATTTAGCCTAATGCTCTCAAGGTTCATCTATTCTGTAGCATGAGACAGGATTTTTTTCCTTTTTAAGACCTAATAATACTCAGCTGCATTATATACCAGTTTTATTTTATTCACCTATCAGTGGACACTTAGGTTGGTTCCACCTCTTCGCAGTTGTGAATAATGCTGCTATGAACAAACAGAATGTTGTCAGGGATAAGATAGAAGACCTGTTCTAATTACCAGTGATGTCTTAAAGGATAATGTAGCCAATGAAATGAAGCTGGATAAAGAGAGTACTCAGTTTTGTCCTAGAAACCTGAAGATAATCAATAGCACTTGGGAGTCTGAGGCAGGAGAAATGCTGTGAGTTTGAGGCCAGCCTAGGCTACACAGTTTAACACCAGCCGGAACTACTTAGCAAGACCTGTCTCAAAAAAACAAAACAAAACTTTTCAAATATCTTTCCGGTATAGGTAACAACCAGTTGTAGTGTGTGTGGAGGGTGGTATCACATTCATCCTAGCAGTTAGAAATAGAAAATATCTTAGGACAAAGTTAACAGAAAGGTATAGTCTTATATGAAGAAAACTGTTAAGCTTTGCACAGACAGATGAAGAAAATAAGTGGAAAGATAGTACTATATTCCATAAGGGAAATACTTAAAGGTTTAAATACACTCAGTCTTCTCTTCCTTAACCCATAACTTTAATTGTAAAGACACTAAAAAAATTCTCATTTTTAACATATTTCAAAATTATTCTGGAACACATAAAATAACTATTTAAAAATTGAAAAGATATTGTGGAAACATTTCAGATAACTCTTACTATAAACCTCTAAGTTAAAATAACATGATGCTTGCAAGGACTATATTAAGAGTTCGCAAACTATTGTTGAAGGAAATAAGAGAGACAAAGTGTTTAAGTTGCCCAAGGCCATGGAATTTCAAATGAGTGGTGTTGGACTTCCAAATTGACACTTGTAACCACACTCAATACTGCTTCCTAAAATATACATAGACACATGTATACGTAAAAACCGAGAAAGAAGTACATAAGAATATTAACATTAGGGCCGGGGATCTGGCTTAGTGGTTCCACTGCCTGCCTCGCAAGCGCAAAGGCCCAAGTTCGATCTCCGGTACCAAAAAAAAAAAAAAAAAAAAAAA